CGAACAAACTTTAGGAACTGTGGCGGAGAAACGAAACAAGGGTGGAGCTGGGCAGATGCTTTAGCAACAACCCCTCTGCCCCTGCCTCTTCTTCACTAAGAGGATTTCTCTCTGCGAAGCCAGCACAGAGAGCTAAGCAGGACTTCCTACTTCACCAGGCACATATGGTGGAGAGGGATAACATCTAAAATGGATTGCAGGGTTCAGCTTCAAGGAACTGGGGAAGAAATAGGAAACATGGGACAGCAGGAGGCACTTTTTCCCCCCCTTCCCTTTTTTCTTCCCCCCACCTCCATCTCAAATCTCCACACCCCTTATATACTCTAGAGTTCTTCCAGCTCAGCCCTCGTCAAGGTATTTCTCACCTCAGAGTTGTTGAGCTTGGGATCATCCACTTTAGAAAGGAAATCACTAGCAGTTTTCTTAAGATCATCCTCAGGTTGATAATCCTCATACCTGCGTTCACAAAGACCATAAAAGGGAAAGAGACAGAGCCACACTGAACTCTTCCACTAACACTGATGTGCACAGAGCTTCACTAACACCAAGGGGCAGACAACATTATTCAAGGATTTAATCCTCCCCAAAAGACTCTGGGGATGGAGGGGAAGAGGTCTCCAAACCACCTTTATCCTGTATGCAAAAATTCAAATATATTTCTAGGATATTTGTGCAAATTGCATAAATATCAGCAGAATTAAACAATTATTATGACAGCACAGTTTTGCAGAACAGCCTAAATGACTTGGCAAGCTACTATGTTACCAACAATCACACATTTTAATGCTGCCAAAGACAAGGTCGTACACCTAGGAATAAAGGAAGTAGGTCACACGCATGGGAATTGCATCTCAGGAAAGCAGCAGTTCTGAAGAGCATTTAAGGTTCACACTGAACACACCGCTCCACACGTTTCCTCTGGTTTTGCTTCTTTAACTGAAAACCTTGACTGTGGTCAACAAGTACTGATAAAGAACAGATTTCTAACAGTTGAGGGTTATTTAATCTATCATAYAGAAAAACAGCATCTGGAAGGCTGAATCTAGAAATATCCAGAGGAAAGGCTGAATGTGGTGTGTCAAATAAGAACAAGATAAAGAAAATTCACAATTGGTTGAGTCTATCATTTGATATGTGCAAGTCTAAAAAAGGCATCTGCTGTGGGAAGAAAAGTTCTGTTCAAGCAACAGTAACTGAACTCACTACTAAATCACTTCAGATGATCTAGCCTAACCTAATGACAATGCCTTCCTGGAACTAGTAAAATAATAAAAGCTGGGATCCCATAGAAGAGCTCAGTCTCCATACACATGGTTTCCTCCTTCCTCTGCAGCCAAAGGACTGATTTCAGGCAGCATTAAGTTTACACAATATTTCTGTCACATAGCCATACTTCACTCATCCAGTGGCCTAGAAGCAATAGCTAGTCTTGAAAAGAGAAACTCACCATTTATCTGCCAACGACTGGTCTTCCGATTCCCCAAGCCACAGCTTCTCCTCCGACTGTTCCAGGTACTCCTCTGCCCATTTGGCAGGAGACACGGACAGCGGATCTGCATAGGACACGGGGATGAATGGGAAGTAATGTGGGCAGAACATATCTCAAGTTATCTTCAGACTTTGCTCTCTTCAATTTACATGCAGTTAGCTAACACACACAGGGAAGACTGCATCAAAGAAAGCTTCTTGGTTTCAGATTTCTCCTAACTGTTTACTTGAATCTAAAAACTGAACCTCGGGTTCAGACAGTCTCCCCATACAGATGCCATGGTGGTGATACACCAGTATCTATATGACTGCCTGCTTCAAATTCACAACATACTCTGCTGGTCTATGCGACATGCCTGCGGGTCAGGAAAACTAGCAATGCATTACAAGTCTCCAGTGCTTTTCCCCAGGAAGTGTTGAGGATCTACGTAGCTACTCCCGGGAATACAGACGAGAAGGGCATGAATGGCTCTGTCTCTCTCCACACAGCAAGGGAAAACAATGCCATGTTTGTTTTGTTAGTAATCTGTACAAAAACACGTGGTCAAGGAGCACCTCGGCCTCAGTGCTTGGGAAAGGTGCTCACCTGTCACTTCAGCAATGAACTCCTGCGACCAGTCGGCTTCGTTATAGTCTGAGGAAACATCAGCAGCGCTATCTGCTTGAGCCAAAAACTCCTGGCTCCAGTTTTCAGACAGTGCCAAGTCTGCCACGCCTGGAGCTACAGGAAGAAAAACATAAATGAGGAGACAGGATTTAAGCACCCCAGGCTCCTTCAGACAGCGCTTATCCTCTCTGATCAGCTTCCTCTCAAGTTAARTTTTTCTATGGATCTGCTGTAAAAGAGAAAGGGACCTCTGTTAAGTCACCTCTCTTCTCACAGTATGGTAATTCCACAGGTGGTTGCTCTGGGACTTGACCAGGCAACTTGTAACATCCCCAAGAATTCCCTGGTCTCTTTGGGCACCTGTTCCAGGGCTGAACCATCCAGAAAGAGCTCTTCCTTCTATCTAGGGATGGCTGCCCTTTTTGCAAYGTGTCCCCGTTGCTCCTTGTCCTCTTGCTGTGCATGACGCAACAGATCCCGTCTCTGCCTCCCCATGGGGCAGCTGAGGACGGCAGCTGGATCGCGTTCAGGCTCCCCCAAGTCGCACGAACGCGGCTTCCTCAGCCCTTCCTGTCRCATCGTGTATTTGAGCTCCCAGACACAGTTTTGCAAACACGGAACGGACAGGAACCACCCTGCTCGGAGTAACCAAAGCCCCGGGAGCTCTTCCTGTTTTCCACGTACCGGGGCTCTCCTCACCTCGCTGCGGGGCCTGCCGGAAGCTCGACTGCTCGATCTCCTGCATCTCGGCCAGCAGGTCATCCATCTTAAAGGTCTGCGGCGCCCGGGACAGCAGCGGCGCATTCTGCTCCTGCAGGAACTCTCCGACCAGCTGCCAAGGACACGGCGAGCGAGTCGGCACCGCRCGGAGCGCACCCGCGCGGGGTAACGGAGCCGGGCCGGACGGAGCCGGGCCGGGAGCGGGGCAGGGTGCAAGGAAAGCGCGAACGGGGAGGAAAGACGAGAGCGGCAAGCGAGATGCGGAGAGGAGAAGCCGCGCGGAGAGCCGGCGCCCGATCCTACCTCATCTTCAGAGGCCGCTGCCAGCGGTTTGGACACCTGCGGGGACAGGGGCAGTGAGCCAGCAGCCCCGGGCCCCGCACGGGGGGCACTGCCGAACCCCCGCGGGAGCCCCGGGGCCGCCCCGCACTCACGGCTCCGGGCGCCTCGGGCGGCCAGCCCAGCGCGGCCGCCGGCAGTCCCTCCTGCCGCAGCGCCTTGTCCTGGGTGAAGTGGCCGGCGAGCCTCATGAGCGGGTTGGAGCCGCCGCACTCGGGCTCCACGAGCTCCCGCATGGCCATGGCGCGGGGCGGCGGCGGCGGCGCCGCCGGGGGCCTCACC